TTCTTGGAATAATAAATGGAAGAGGTGTGTTATATCATATTAGACAGTTGAAATTTAGGCTAGTTGTAGGTTGCATGAACACTGGTAGTAGGGAACTGGTATATTTAGGATAAAGGGCAGGAAAGGTAAGTACTGTCTTATTACATTGAACCTGTAAGTTTGCCCAGTATATGAAATGTATAGGTTCACTTATAGATGACTTAAAGCCCATTTCCACCTTTATGGAGGTATTTTAAAAAAACATATGCCAGCAATGTACATCGACTGTATATGAACAAGACATATGCAGTTGATGTATATGAACACAGAAATGTAGCTTTCATCCTCATGGAAATGGCTGCCTTTGTGTTTTGCAAGCAATGTGTGTAAATTACAACTGAGCTCTCCACCCCCATTCATTAGTATATATAGTGGCAACCGCCCTGGACAGTGTATTGTGTGTAAAGGCTTGTGTTTAGTGATTGTGTTACACAGAAACACAGGCAAGGGGCAGTTGTTTACAGCCTGTTTTACAATCTGACCTCAGTGTCAGACCAAGTTGCCCGTGGAGAAATTTTGGAGAATTCAGGCCCAATAAAAATTTGATGAAGAAAGCCTGCAATATGAGTCATGAAAATGTGCACACATATACATCATCACTGCATCTCTATATTACCCCCCAAAAAATGCTAATCAATTACAAAGGTGCAAATGGGCCTAGCTCATGAGCACCACATTACAGCACTATTCATTACATACATTTGTGTAGTGCCTAACATGTGTCTTTTCCCTAAATTATGTAAAATGTTTAAATTCAATTTATTAAGGTTCTAATTTCTCTTTGACAAGTATGCTATTTGCTGCATGGAGTTTGGCTATTGTATGCGTGGCTCTCACTTTTGCTTCATGGGGAAAAAAAGCTGAATAGTAAAGCATTGTAGTCCTGGCTTGTGACAGATGTTTGCTGGTAGGTGAAAACAGCAGGTTTTTGGCGTTCACACAAACAGAATATCAGCAGAAAAAAAATTACATATTCTGAATTAGAACTTGGAGGCAGCACCATTACTGTGCGATATATGTGCCGTGTCTGCCAACCATACTTGTCCTCACTCATTTCACAGTAGCACATTCACTGATTCATTTAATTTGTTCTCGGAAAACTAATTTCTTAAAAAAATGATAGTAGGGAAGTGAAGTACTTTGAATGAAGCCTCATTTTATCATGAAGTCAAGTATGACCACAGCCAGAATATTAAGTAGATACTTTTGAAAAATGTTCACTGTATAAATAAGGGGTCTATGAAGGTTTAATTCCCTGAGCATTTCACAAATGTGATCACACTGTTTATGTTCAAGGTTATATCAATGAACCACTCCTGAACTAACTGTTGAGCTTGCATAGGCTCTATTAAAAAAATATCGTAGAAAATGCAACTCTGTATAATTATTTGAAGTTTTCTGACAAGTAGGGCTGATTATAAAAAAACTGAAGCTAAAAGGTGCCTGCAGCAGCAGTTGGCCTCATGGCTCCATTATTTCAATTATGTATTGAAGGCTTTGCAAGGGAAAACTGAAAACTGAATTACATCGAATACCCCCAATCAAGTATGCCATCATCACTACCCATCATCACTACAAGATCTTGGTAAAAAGTATTGCAACTCTGGACAGAAATAAATGTTGTGATAGAGATTGCATAAGCTTATCAAAAAGATGCCATGGCGAATGTGTGCCATAATCAAAGCTAAAGGTGGTCTTTTTTTTGTTGGACAGGTAGTGTATTATATTTTTGGTTTTTGGCTTAGCTATATTTATGCTTTAGAATTGGTACTAAATGGAAAAGGACTTGTATTCATATACAGGTGAAACTCGAATAATTAGAATATCGTGCAAAAGTAATTGCAGTAAGTACTGAGTACATATGCATGCTTGTACTTTTCAGAGGTCCGATATTGTTCTATGTACAATCCTTGTTTTATTGATTGCATGTAATAATCTACTTTTTTGAGGTTGTGGATTTGGGGTTCTTGGGGTTTTCATGAGCTGTAAGCCATAATCATCAAAATTATGACAAATCACGGCTTGAACTATCTTGCTTTGCATGTAATGAGTCTATCTCATATATTAGTTTCACCTTTTAAGTTGCATTAGTGAAATAAATGAACTTTGCACGATATTCTAATTATTCGAGTTTCACCTGTATAGAGATATATGAACCTTTATGAACTATGATCAAGAAAATTCAGTACAGCATTTAGCAAACATAAAAAAAGGTTTTCAAAATATTTTACAGTATGTAAAATAATAAATAATACTTGAGAGCGCTTTAAGTATTTTGATGTTAGTGTTTTAACATTATTGAAGCTTAGAAATTGGTTTGTACCTTTTTTTTTTATGTGGCACTAAAAAATATGTTTTTATATTTTTAAAAGGAAACACATTCTTGCAGTTTAATGATCATGCCAGTAAATATTCCATCTGAAGACAATTCTGAGCTTCAAGCTGTAAAACAGCCTTCCTGTCTCTGAGGCCTCAATATTTTTTTTTTGTGTGTACTGATGTCAAGATATTGTGAAAGTGCAGTCAAATCACATCTGTGATTGTGTCTTCATAACAAGGCCTCCTTCATTCTCTTGGGAACTCCTTATCTCCTTGACTCCCGCTTTCCCGACACTGGCAAACTTAGTCTGCAGTCTGATGTCAGCTCCCAACAGATGATAATTGTGTCTGCACTGGGCCCTCCCGGCCTCCCTCCCCTGCTGGCTCTCTATGTGCCTGGTAAACACTCTCTAGTCGCTCTATAATCATCTTCCTCCTTCTATTACACTCTGCTAATTAAGCACAGCCTATATATAGTTCCGTAATAATAGTAACACGTCTAACAAAGGCACATGCATTCCTACTTAGTGTAAAAATACAGCTTTGATTTTTAATGATTATCTGCTTGCAATTGAGAACAATTAACAGAGAAAACTGTGATTCAAACATCTCTGTACACATGAATAAACAATAACAGGAGATGCAAATCCAACACATGACTTTTGTTTCCAGTAACCAGCATATTTTTTAATTAGAAAGAAATAACAAAATGTAGTTTTTTATTTATAACCTACTGCCACATATAAGTCATTGCAATTGGTTTTACTATGCAAAGTGACATAACTCTTTACATCCAATCACAATTCAGTTTAGAATGCAGTAAAAGATGAACTCTGATTGTTATGGGATCCTTTTTTGCATATTCTCAGTATATTTTTAAATAAGCTTAAACTGCATTTGTTTTTGGATACACGTACATACAGTTAGAATAATATAATAAAGTATCAGTTAGCTGAGTATACCCATTTTGTTTTTTTGTGTGTTTAACAGACCCATGTGTTTATTTTCTATTTTTAAAGGACGAGGGCATTTTGTTTTTTGTTTTATATGTGTCAATAGGGAGAGCATTATCTTTTAACATAAAGTGCGTCAGCTCCCTCTACTGTTAAAATTGTGGAAGACATCAAGGAAACAGTTTTAGATCAATATGTTTAACTGCCTTTGTGCAAGTCTCTGAATCTATTCTACATTTGTGGTTTTATTAGACCTGTTCACATGCAGAATAAGAGCTTTTACAAAGTGAAAGAAAATGTCATCTCTGCAGGAGAGTTTGCTATGTTCAATACCTTTGTGTATGTGGCTGTTGTGAAGTTGCTTTAGAAGACAGTAAAGAATAATGCGTATGCCTATGACAAATGTGACACTGACGGAGGGAATGAGGGAAAAAAGCAGATCATATGGAAAATACTATCATTACATGTACTGTATAACCTATATACTGTTATTAGAATAACATTTTTCATTGGTCCTTTGAAAACATTGCACATATTAGGAGAATTGCAAACATTCTTTAGGTAGACCCTTACACTTTGTAGTTATTGGTAAATTATTTAACAGTTCAAATCTCAGTAAAACCTAAATAGAAGGACCGAGGCAGCTATTGAATATGGGTTTTTTTTTTTTTTATTAAAGATGACTATCACACTATCACCAGACACTGCAGAACAGTGAAATTTGTACACCAGTTACTTAACTTTAGCTATGTTATACCTGGTAGCAGTAGTTGGCAGTTTTTGTGCAGGGTTTTGGTTGTGTGCATAATGTTATTATGGGATAACACCAAATTTGTACAGTTGAACACTGATTCTATGATGATATATGTATTTACCCATGTTAGGGACAGAATACGTTTTCTTCAGTTTAACTCCATGCCACAAATATCTTCTCAGGTAACTACTCAGAAAGGATAAAGTTTGCCTGTGCCATAGATTAGGCTTCAATAGTAAAGCTTTCTCATAACTTAGAATATACACCTTATTATTTAGCTACGCTGTATACAATCTACAGGTTTTATATATCTCTAAATATAATTCTGTGATCCTTATGATTAGGACCCTAAAAATTTCTTTTGCCATGGAAGTCTTGATAGGACACTTCTCCACAATGCCAGAACAAGGGTGTAACTAAAGCCACAATGGACCATGTAATTAGAAAAACAAAAAGTACAAATTAGCAGTGTCATGATCTATATAGGCAGCAGCAATGTTTGTGCTTTTAATTCATCAGATTGTCATGAAAGCAATTTGCATGCAGTATTATTGTATATAAGCTAACCAAAGGCTCTGAAGTTGTTCATTTGGGGTTGCGGGGATCTAAGGGGTACTGCTATTTATGGTTATGGTTGTGTGTGTATATGAGATTTGCATAGATGTTTAGTAGTGGTCAGTCTGTTTTGCAGTGCCAAGTCTGGTACCCCAGGCACATGACTGCTGGCCAAGTCCCACTCACCGGTACTTGTTTACTCTTCCCCTTCAATAACATATACTCTATCTCCAGCATCAACAGCTTATCACTTGCTCTTACACATTCTAAGTGCTTAATGAAGTGACATCAAAAGTTGTATCAGGTTTCTGGAAAGAGCCATGCATTCCTCTAGAAATCTTCTAACTATTTATTGTACATTGCATTCTTTTGTTTTTCAGGTTTTACATTGAAAGTATATCTTACCTAAAGGATAATGCTACCATAGAACTATTCTTCCTGAATGCAAAGTCCTGTATATACAAGGTAATATATTGTTATTATAATAAAAAACACTCAAATTGATACTGTAGGGGGGTATGACATGTTTAATCTAGAAGTAAAGCAACATGAGGGCCCAATAAACAATTGCCCATGTGACAAATAATAGTTCAGATCTAAGGGATTTAGATATTAGATGTGACTATTGTGCCAACTGTTAAATAATTATGAACTGCATTATCCAGAAAAATCCAGACATTTTTACAGAAAAGTTGCATAATCAGCGCTAAAAAAAATATGGTTTCTTAAAATAATTACTCAATGTTTGGCACAACAGACGTGTTTAGAAGTGCACCAAGAGGATGATGGTGCAAGAAAGTCAATATAATAATAAACTATTTGTTGGGACAATGTACTTTATTGGAGATGGTGTGCGCCATAAGAAGATGATGTATGTGACCATTCTCATCCATATTCATCCACCAGCCTTAGTTTATTGGGCCCTAGGTGTTGTGAAACAGAAGCAATAATGGAAAGCAGACATTCTCAGGTGTTTTCACGTACCTTCTAGTATCTTCTCAAGCATCCTAAGGCCTTTGAAACTATGGGCAATTTAACATATTAATAATGACTTTATTTCACAAAGTGTACAATTGGCCTGTCCCTCCCATTTCTTGCACCTAAATGTTGGTTCTTAAGCATGGTGGGTGCACTCAAGAACTATAATAATTTAACCCATCAGGCAAGTAAGGGCAGGCCAGCTCTTCATTTCTAGAAGCCAAGTTGGAATTCTCATCTCATATAGCCCAATGTTTTGGCGGTTCCAGAATGAGAGAAAATATTGGATGTACCAGGGATCCCTGATTTACATTAATGCAGCTGTTTTACATTATTTAGTGTGGGGAAAGGCTCATTTTACACTAGAAATGGTAGGAAGGAAGATAGCATAGATGACATCACTGTATAAAATCAGCTTTATTAAAACTCAAAGTATGCCACACAGTCCCACCTTGATCCATCTCTCTCTAACGCATCCCAGAGGTGGGACTGTGCGGTACAGACAGTTGAAGTTTCTTAATAAAGCTGATTTTTATACAGTGACTTTATCAGGGTGCAGCGGACTGGGAATCTGGGACTCTGCAGATACCAATGTTTTCCTGGGCTTGATTGCTGGATATCAGTGTCTACTAAAGATTGTAACAAGGAAGATAGTATGACATCGACCTTATGTGTAATATAAGTAGGTTACTAGTGCCTTCTTACTCACTAGGAAAACAGTCACTTTGAAAAGGTAAAATTATATAAATCATTGTAGTTGTCATTCAGTTAGGTTTAATTATTTACCTTTGACTCATTTTATCTTTTCATTTTGTTAGCTCTTAAAATGGTAACAGTCTACACTTACATTTGAAACAAACACACAAACACAAAAACAGCCTGTTGTGTTTATAAAAATGCATAATAGTGTGTTCCCTTCTTGTGAGTTTAGCAGTATAACGACAATCAAATTACACTTGCAGTGTGTTATTCATACCTCTAGGTGGCAGCATTTCCTCATATAACATGAAAGTAAAAAAACATTTCTGATACCATTGCAACCTCGACAGTGATATTGTCAGTCTGATTAAAAACACGGAAGTTAAATAAACATCAAAGTACATTACTCCAAGGATCAAATTGTAGTAGCAAATGAAGTTATACTTCATAAAATAAAAACAGAGACAGTCACCTGTAGCAGTTTTGTTCCTTTGTTATTGCTGTATTCAGTACCGGAAATGTTTATTAAAGCAAATGCTGGGGGGTTTTTTAGAGATACTATCCCATGTTTTTTTCAAGATTTTTTTCAATTCTCAAATGGCTATATATCATAGAGCTAAAAACAAGTATTGGTCCTCTGATATATACAGTACATATTGTACAGTTTCAGCCAGCTATACATGTACCTCTGGGATACTTTAGATCAGGGGTCCTCAATATATATATATTTTTTAATACTCGCCTGATCCCTAGATCCACAGACGAACTGCAGCTTCTGAGAATATACGCTATTAGCGTAGCGGCGAAGCCGGTTGCGCATTTTGCAGAGCTCCTGCTACGCTAATAGCGTATATACTCAGAAGCTGCACACAGCTCGCGCCGGTTTAAGTAGTAACCAGCACGCTCTGTTGCAGCTTCTGACAGCGTGGGAGATGGGACGTTGCGTTTGTCGGTGGATGACCAATCAGGAAGCCGGGCAGTACGCCATGACTCGTGTCACGGCTTCCTGATTGGTTAGGAAGCCGGGCTGCCTACCAACAAGTGAAGCTTGCTTCCCAGCCAATCAGGAAGCCATGATGCAAGTCATGACGTACCACCTGGCTTCCTGATTGGTCAGGAAGCCAGGCTGCCTAGAAAAAAGTGAAGCCGGCTTCCTAGCCAATCAGGAAGCCAGGGGGTGGGTCAGAACGTGCCGCCCAGCTTACTGATTGGTTAGGAAGCCAGGCTGCCTACCATCTGAAGCTTGCTGCCTAGCCAATCAGGAAGCTGGGCAGCATGTCATGACCCGCTTCCTGATCCGGCCCCCAACAATGTCTGAGGGAAAGTGAACTGGCCCCCCGTTTAAAAAGTTTGAGGACCCCTGCTTTAGATAGATAGGTCCTGTGGGTTTATAATTGGTAAACTCAGAACAAAAGTTACATTTACTAAGAACAAGATTCTGTAGATATATTATTATTTCAAACCTATTATTATTACTTAAAACCTATATCCATGGAAACAAATAAATCTCTAGCGGCCAGAGATCTGCTGATGTCATCACCTACAGTGTAGGGCTCATAGCCTTGTATTATACATGAGGACGCTGAGGGACAGTCCACAAGTCAGAGTAGAGGCGAGAGTGCCAACCACTAGGAGAGCTGGGATCAGGTAAGTAATAGCTCCTCTAGACATAAAAGCTCCCCTAGACATAAACAAGCCGTTAACCCTTGTAGTTTGGGGGTAGTCTTTTTTGCCCCCAGAGATAGGCTTTAAAGACTATATGGTACTTAGGAAAACATCACCCTTTGGGCTAAATTATGCCTGTGTTGACAAGTGTCTTTCCTATAAGGTCTGCGAAAGGAACTGTCCAAAACACTTGCTCGGGTTGATGTAAATGCCTTAATATTTTACGCTGAGGAGTACTTTAGCTCTGTATAAATAGATATTAAGAACAATAAGCCTTCAACAAGCTAACCACCTATTGTTGTATCACCTTCTTTAATGAACACATTTTCTTTGCAGCTTAAGTTTAACAAGCTGTTATTCTATGTTTTCTTATCATCACCTTCTCCCATGCATGCCTTTAGGATTTCTTCAGAGCCTTTTCCATCCACTGGAACTCCCTTCCCCAATTTATCTGGCTATCTTCTACTTTTTCCACCTTTAGGCAATCCCTGAAAACTCTTTTCTTTAGGGAAGCCCATGCCAATTTTACCTAAGAACTGAACTTTCTCCATCAACCAATCGCCATACAGATATTACCTTCCAAATTACTTGCCCCACGCTTTTAGATTGTAAGATGTCTTATATTGAATTTTATGAAAAGTTCCGTGCAAACTGTTGGTGCTATATAAATCCTGTATAATAATAATATAGTATACTGGGCTTCATTTACACTGCACTGCAAAAACTACCACCAGCTGAAATTGTTGGGGCAACACTCCTGTCTAGCCATGGGTGCAGATGTTATATGAAATAATGGCGCCAGAGGACCAGGGTGAGGTATGCTGCAGAACTCTGTAGTGCCAGCTTATCATGGCATAACAAAGATTTCTAACCTGCCCAATCACGATTGCCTCCAATGAGCAACTGCCAGAGGGGCTTGTAAGTAGCTCATAGACAATAGGTTGTTGATTTTAATCGCATCGGGAGAATATCATATATTGTCTGCTGTTGCCTTTAATCAATAAAAAAAAGTGCAAAGGAGAATAATGATGTGTAGTAACCCATGGCAACAAATATTGCTGTCTGCATTCAGTGTTTTGGTCATTGAAAGATGACCTGGCCAGTTGCAGCGGATTAATAAATTTTCAACTGCTCTTTGCCTTTATAAATAAAAGTGTAAGTCCCTCTTGTTCATTGAGCTGCCGGTTCATAGACAGGATAGAGATGGAATGTGAAGCAATCAGGATATGATAATAGCTTGTCTCCAAAGCATGCCAGTAAGCTTTCCTCTAGTTAGGGGAGGGTACATTTTCTGTTCAAAATAAAAGAAGTATTAGTATTATGCACACTTTAAAAATGAAGGATCTTCCTGCATTTGTTCTCCTAAAAATTATTTTGGCCCCAGTGCAATATAAATGAGCGGAAGATGAAAAGAGCCGCTGGGATTTCTGCATAGCACTTAACACAGGAGGGTATTCAGGGCAGGGTGTTCCTAGGGGAACCGCAGTGTACTTTTTTAACACAAAGAAGGCAAGGTCACAGCAGAGTCCCAGCAGTTGCTTCTAACAATTCTAATATGCCAGAATGCTTTCTTGCCAAGAAGTTAGTGCTCACTACAGTCTATAGAAAATGACATTCCTGTTGACTAAACACTATTGTCCTAGAACAAAATGTTGCCTGCTAGAGATAAGCAGTTTCCTGACTGAAAACTGTCAATACGGCATATTATTAAGAGCCATGCATTGTCCCTCTCTTGTTCAAACTTTGATCCCACTTCGGGAAGATCAAATTAATGTTAGACGCCCTAGAGTTCACATTTTCTCTTCTTAAATTATATGTTTCCAAAGAGCCCGACCTATTAATTCACTAATGAGCCACTACCATTGAGAATCTAAGTCTTATTGCTAGGAACGGTCCTTTCTTTACCTTCTGGCTATGCATTCCTTTAACTAGCTCCCCACCAATAATTGACATAGACAGATTTAGTGTAAAGAAAACAGGCATGGATTGCTTCAATGCCTCTGAGATATTTACAGATCAGCGTGAAGTCACACCAGAAAGGCTTTAAAAAGGAATTAGGAACGAAAGCCTTTGGCACTTGATTGGTTATGTTTCCATTGCCAATTACAGTAGGAAAATTAACA